TTATTGAAAAGTGAAATTTTAGTGTAGCATTCACACTAGGATTTGCAATGTAAATTATATAAGAAAATATTTCTATATGTGTATAGAAATTTATACGATATTTAAAAATAAATTTATATATTAATAAGAATTTATATAATTTACATTATTATATAATTTTGTATAATAATGTAAATTTATATAAGAACTTATATTTGTATAATTTATATAAATTTATATATAAACACTTTGCTTTCTATTAAACTTTGTGTTGAAAAAGTATTGGAAGGTAAACTCAGGGTGAATTTCACTATAAACTTCAATAGTTGATTTTTAGTAATCGTAGTCTATTTTCTTGATCAGTGTTTTATTTATTAGTCCATAGTACAATAGTAGTAGAATATATAATAGGAGTAAAATACATATAACTAGAAAAAAGAAGACGCAATCTTTTATTTAGACTATTTAAATTAAACAGTTCATTTCAAATATAAAAAATGTAGTCAGTATTCAGAATTTTCTTTTGCAGCAAAATCTTAAAACCATTGAATTGAGGTTTTTTTTTTTTTTTTTTTTTTTTTTTTTTTTTGTTATAAGTAAAATGAAATACACTAACATTTCACGTCTGATACTAAATCACGCGAAATCAAGTAATAAGACATTAGCTGTATGTGTTAACTTTAATGTAGTGCAAAGCTTCTGCAATATTTGAGATCACTTGTATTTTTCAAGAATTAATTTTTTGTATTATTTTTAGAGACATTAGGTATTTTTTGAAAGAATGAGAGATGAAAGATGTGCAGTGCCCTCACCGGGAGTCGAACCACGGACCTCTCGAATACGTGCCGTGCCATTACACCACGAAGGCATGCTAAAAACGCGAGAGAAATACGTTATGTACTTCCCCTTTCAAAGGGCGACTGGGATTAGGGGACGCCAAATCCTGGTAGTGAAAAATCATCATTCACCGCCTTTTAGTTAGAGCGCCATTGTAAAGACATTAGGTATTTGTTGAAAGCAGGAGAGATGAAAAATGAGAAATGTCCTCGACAGGACTTCAACCACGGACCTCTCGAACACGCGCCGAGTGTACTGACCACTACACGAGGAAGGCATGTTAAGATGGAGGGAGAAGTACTTTATATTATCTTTTATTGCAAATATCTCTTTTGTCATATCTTTCAGTTATCTCAGAAAGTTCTCTCAAGAGGTTGATGTAAAAAAGAGGAGATTCTCGGACCATCCCCCGGGTGTTCTCCCTCAAAATTGGGGTGAAAAGTTTAACAGTTAGCAAGGTTCAGCAGTACCTCAATTACATGTGGTACTACGAAGGTGCTGGCCTAGCTTCTACCTGTACCTGTCATATCTTTCACATTACTTATAGTAAACATTGGGTGTCAAACTACACTTTCACCTGAACCTGTCATATCTTTCAACGTGAATCACTTGCAAATTACCTTCATAATAATGTTTTCCTATTTGTTACAGTTTTAAGTTATAAATTTTTAGAGGTTATGTTATGCAACTCCGTAAAAATATGTATTTATGGCATTTGAACCAGATCCAAAAAAGTAACAGTGATTTTAAATGCATTGGATAACATATGTTGAAGACAGTTTTTAGTAAAATGGAAACTTTTAATGGGTTTAAATTATCAGCATTACTTAAAGATACAACATAAAGAATGACTATTGTGACTCACAAGTATTATAACATTTTTGTGCTAAGTTATTGAAAAGGAATTTAGTAATGTGTTTGGAGCTTTAGAGACAGTGGACATTTTTTTAATATAATATGCAAGGAAAATGTTCCTTTAACGCTACTTTAATGTTTCAGATTAAAAAAAAAAAAAAAAAAAAAAAAAAAAAAAAAAAAAAAAAAAAAAAGGTAAACAAATTTTGCAAGCACAACAAAACTTTCATTAGATACCTACTTTGATTTGAGAGTTAACAGTATTTATGAAGGAGCATAAATATCGGTATTGAATATCGCTGATAATTATGTTCTTTCAAGCAGCTATCTGAATAAATACCAAAATTGATTGGAAGTAACATAGGAATGTGCCATTTTATTTTTATTTGCTTGTTCATTCAAATTTATTAACATTCAATTTATTCACATTCCAAACAAGAGATTACAGATAAGCTTCATAATCAAGTATACAAAAGATATTATCTAACCGTAGACATTTCAGTCATTAAACTATATATAACTGTACATTCGCTATAAACAGAGTCGTAGCTAGGATTTTCAGCGCTCAGGGGCCCACCAGCGGCCGAGCGGTAATGTCGCTGAACACTGGTAGTTCGGTCCGAGATTCGAATTCCGCGAACGGGCTGGCTGCATGGGCGTTTTCGTGGTTTTCCCCATGTGTAACGTGTATACGAGCCAGTTTCCCTTAGAAAGTCCTCCACGAAGGCATCCCTCCCCTTAGACAGATAGCCCTCGAGGCTTTGCCATAATCACACACAACACAGCGCTCAGGGACAACTGAAGATTTCGCGCCCCCTACTGCTTGCCAAGGATGGAAAACAATTAATTCTAAAATGTGGTAACATCAGTTTGGCGCCCCTTGGATTCTGCGCCCGGGAACAGATGCCCCCCTTGCCCCCCTCTAGCTACACCCCTGACTATTAAAGTCAATATATTTTTAGATACGCCATCTGTACAGAAGCCTTAAGTATCTTAAGCTTTTACACAGATGTATTTAGTATCGAATTACTCTTTAATGTAAAGAAATATCATCAGTTCCGCTTGAAAAGTCATCATAATTATTAAACCATTAAACCCAAGTACAGTTTCTCACTGTATTTGAAAGTACAAGCACTCATTTTGGTTAGTTTTTCGAACTTCATGCATTAAGTGACGTTCATTGATGCAGCATTCATTTTATCAAATATTCTATGTAAGAATTTTTCAAACTTTTAAGTATTTTACAGTTGAATATTTCAACCCTGTCATGCATAATATATTGTGTGAAAAAAGCAGTTGTTAATATGGTTCAACACTTTCAGTGAATTATTTTCTAATATTAGTTACCTAAACAATTTGCAAAGCCTGTTATTTAGATTATCAGTATTTATCATATTTTAATTGTAACTTAATTAATTAATGCTGTTTCAAACTGTATAATTTAGTATCACAATTGTGACTAATAACGGTATATATATAAATTTTTGTATTGTTCGTTAACATATTTTAGTTGGTTTATATAGAAGATATTTACGGCTAAAAAATGCTGATCACTATTTTACTTATTTTACAAAATTACTTTACGTTACAGATAAATTAGCAGTCAGCGTGTCTTGAAAGTCCTTATGCGACCTTTATTTTCGCAAAACTGCTTTAATTGAAACAAATATTCATGTTTAGATATTTTTCAGTTTAAAAAAAATCAACCTTGTAAAAAATACGAAATATGGCTTTTTATACGCTCCCACAATCTTTTCAAGTATGTTTAGGAAAAATTCCAAAAAATTAAAAATAAATATTTAACTCCCATACCACAAAAGATGACCAAGATATTTAAATTTAAACTTTCATATCGCATGAAAGCGAGAAATATTTGCAACGATACGAAACCAAAAATGCAATATCAGTATAAGAGAAGATTTCTAACGTTAATAAATTAAATGACAAGTATATACATGTTATTCAAAATGGAGATCTTATTCAAATAATGTTGCAGAACTCATTTTCTAGGAAACTGAGGCAGGCTTCAGTACTGACACGTAACCAACTAATAACATTATATGCAAAAATTTAAAATATTTCTAATTTAAGTTGTAGAGTCATTAGGATATTTTTTGGAAGCAGGCAAGAAGAAAAATTAGCAAACGCCTTCGCCGGGAATCGAACCACGGACCTCTGAAATACCGGCTCGCCACGAAGGCACGCTAGGAAGGCGGGAGAAATACCTTATATACTCTCCCCTTTTAAAGGGCGACTGGGGGTTTTTTAAGAAACCCAATCGCGAAATCCTGGGTGAAGAGAATCATCAGCCAATACACTTTTAGTTCGGGCGCCACTGTAGAGTCATTAGGGTATTTTTTTGGAAGCAGGCAAGATGAAAAATTAGCAAACGCCTTCGCCGGGAATCGAACCATGGACTTCTGAAATACCGGCTCAGTGTGCTGACCGCTACACCACGAAGGCACGCTAGGAAGGCGGGAGAACTACCTCATAAAGTATTGATTTTAGAGTGATAAAACTGCATGAGAGTAATAATAATGTACTTTTTTTAGCATTTGAATTATTTGTGTAAATTTCTTTGGGCATACCATAGGCGACAAAATTCTAAATTAAATAATGTTACAGACTAGTAAATCGCAAAATAATATCATTGAATGGCATCTAAGGGGCGAAAAATAAAACTAGAATTATTCTAATACATTCTTTAACCCAGCCCAACTCTTCGCGAAACTTCTTGCGTTTTATTTTCTTAAAATGAGAGAAAAAATATTTAATAGAACTATAGGGACGGGGATATATAAAAATTAAATTTCATAATTTTATAAAATTGACTTTTTAAGTTTAAGAATGCCAATACGTAAATACTTGTTCTATTTAAAAGACTTTTGTTACTATAAGCATGTGTCTACCACCAATGGCTGCGAAAATAAAGACCGCATGAGGACTTTTGTGGATACAGTGTGTCCACAAAAGTGTGATCACTTGAAATTTTGTACAAATTGGAAGATTATGTATATATATATACAGCTTTCACTTATATGCAAAAACTGTATATTGCTTGTATATTTTTGCTTCAAAAACTAAATAATAATTGCAAACTGTCTTTCATGTTACGACCTGCATGTATATTTTATCTGCTATTATCTTGCTTAATTTTTCGAAATACGTTATATTTTGTAAATAGTTAAAAGTTTTGTATTAATAGGGAAATGCTACAAACTGAAGTGCTAAAGCAAATTTTCAAAATGAGAGCAAAATTTTTTTAATATTCTCATGTACTACTACTAAAGAACGTGATTTGAAACATTGTGATATTTTTCTTTATTTAGGAGCCATGTTGTTTAGATGTCCGGAAGCTAGAAGTAGTAAAAATTATCCATACCAGGAAGAGAAAATTTAAAAGCCATAAAGTAAGGAAAAATATTGTTTTATTTTTCGATGTTGTGTATTTTTAATTAAAAATGAATATTTACTTTTATTTTTGCATTTTTAGTATTAGCAATGTAATAATTTTTATCCATAGTGCTTACTGAAATGCATTAAACCATAGTATTGCATTAAAGTTGTTTGTAATCGAAAAAGGCTTTCTAAATCTGCTGTGAAAAATAAATGTCAGGATAATGACATGTAAATTTTTGCGTTGAAACGAATCCCTTTTTTTGTTACATGTACTTTTCATTATCTTCGGTAAAATGTTTTCAAGATCTGCAATGATAATACTGTCTTTTCAGAGCATTAGTTTTCAGTCATAGTAAATTATAAATGAGGCTATTACTATTATGGTTTCATAAAAAAAGAATTTTCCATTTCTTTTTCCACTTTATGCAGAATTTTTCATATCTTTTTCCACTTCATGTAGAATTTTCCATATGCGATATTAATTCTCTGAGTGTTATCCTTGCATGCTATTTCAATAAAAATGAAGGGGGGAAAACTGCACAAAGCCAACTGAAGGTCAATATCTTTGAAATATTTCATATTTTTAGGCATTTTTGACTAGCCATTACTTTTGCTTCAAGGTTTTCAAGAGGCTAAAGCGAAACCAGTAACTCGTAGCTCACGCAATGCCATGTGGAGCAGGGAATGATTTGTTTAATTCGTTCGTCGTCATGGTAACACAAGATGAAGTCAATATGCGTTATTTGGGAAAAAGAAAAATATTGTTCGCTGCTAGGAACCGAGTTTGCATTTATTGAGTTTGCATTTTTTAATAAGCTCTTTTCCCAAAGGCAGAGCTTTTTCTAACCCTTTCTTTTCCAGGTTAGTGTTATGGTGCATTTTATTTCATTATACGCGCCTTTAATTATGAAGGTACTGCAAGTCCATTTTTTGGAAAGAAGGGGGAGACAAGAAAACGATAATTTAGGTGGAATTTCAAGTGACATTAATTTAAAGATAATTTATAATTCATATTTTAAAATATTCATATGCTGTGATCTATTGCAAATTAGTCAGTAAATGAAAGTGTATAAGCACTTATAATGAAAATGATGCAAAACTATTTTTAATTTTAAACAATGCCGGTAAGCTTAGAGATAAGACACATTTATTCGACTATCAGCAAGTAAATCTTAGTCATTTAATAAGAAATTTTAAGAGTTTAGGAAAAAATATCCAAGCTTAACTCCAGATTTATGTGAACCAGGAAGTGAGACTCCAAATAGGGAACCACCATACTAACACCTTCAAACAAAAGTAATTAGATCCACATCAGAAAAATTTAAACATACGGAGCAGGTATTATACCTCAAAGTACTTTTTATGTATCATATATATTTCAAAAAATTTCCGCATAACAATATAAAATGAAGAATGCAATCTAATGCTAAAATTACGACGACTTACAAGCATAACGTAATTTAAAAATAATATTGAAATTAAGTAATAGAAGATTTTGCATCTTTTTTTCGTTTATCTATAGAGCTAGACCAAAACATAATGTTCAAATGAAACTGAAATTTAAATCATAAAAATTTAGTGACTTAACAAACGCAATAATTACGAAGATGAAGTAAATCTATTTCTGTGGCCCAAGATATAATGTTTGGCGTAGTTAATTCTGATGAAAACTGTCGTATAAGAAATTTAAATGCATTTAATATAATAGATTTATGAAAAATTTCACAAATATTGTTAAGATTTTTGAGTCTATTGAAACGTAAAGCCAAATAAACTCAGTGTTATTTTTGTTAATAGTGACGTAATAGTGTATAAGTATTGAAAATATTTAGCGTTTCGAAGAGCAAAGTTTAATCTAAAGCAAGAATAATGCATAGTTAGTTCACAATAATAGTTATTGAAGCTAAATTCTCATTGAAGTGAAAGATTTCATATGATTGATTAATGGAGAATATCTATTTCTTACGAGTTGAAAAACAGTGAGAAGGAAAATGGCAAAAACAAAATATGTTTCATTTGATGCTACTTATGTTGTCAAATGATATCGTTTTGATTATGAGAAATTGAGTTATTGTTATTATATATGTATGCAATAGTATCATTTTCGCTTTAAAAAATTTGAAATCTTTTCATAAAATTTAATACCAGATTGAAAGAGAAAACTCAGATTAAGATAATAGCGTTTCAAATAACAAATAATAAGAAATGCAAAAAGAGAAAATCATTCTAATTCCTTAACTTCTATTCTCTGAAACTTTCTAAAACAGACACATATCAAGCAAATTTTAAGGTTTTTCAGTCTATCATTTAATTGGTGAATACTGGAATTTTCAAAATATATTAAAGAAAACATTCTTTAAATGTATCTTGTTTTTTAATATTTTGTGAAAATAAAAGGAATTATTCGCTAATTTTTCACTCACTGCATGTTTACTTTATCAAATTAATAAAAAAGAAATTAATTCTGCTTGAAAACCTTTTTCAAAACCTAAGAACTGTTTCTCACGCGTGTTCCAACATACAGAAAGCGGTGAGAGTATTGCAAGAGACTGCTCCACTTGCTCCGAAGAAAAAGATTCCTAAACGACGAATCTTTTGTGATGCAAGAACTACTTTTTCCCGTGAAATCAAGATCTTTTTTTAATACTATGCTTGGTAGTCGATGCAATTAATGCAAGCTGGCTGATGCGTATGTTGATTTTTCTCCAGGTAGGGAAACTCGGAGACTGACCTTAAATAGCTTTCACTTGAGAATTGTCTCTGTTGGTGTTTGAGGGGCGTAGCGAAACTGAGAAGCAGGCAGGCGTTGCTTTGTTTCCTACTGAATGACGCCCATTTTCGGGAGATTTAAAGAAAAACTGGACACGCGGTTCGCTGAACCGATACTCCATTACCAAAATAGCGTTGTTGAAAGAAACGCATTCAACCGCCTAAGAAACTAAAGTCTTCTTTCTTTTGGATTTTTTTTTTTTTTTTTTATTATTATTATTATCATTTTTATTCTGCAAGTTCACCTCCCTTGTATCTCTCAATTTCAAGTAAGCTTAAAAAATATGGGCTTGAAATGAATAAATGTATACCCTTATTTTGTTTTAATATTTGCAAATATTTTGATATGAAATTACAATCAGTTTAAAAATTAAATTAAGGATTTAACATTAATCTGTTTGGGACAAAGCGCTCACACGCAAAGGAGCAAATTTGAGTGAAAACTTTCTCTAGGTACTAAAATGGACCGTTTTATTTATGAAATGTTTATTTCAGGTAGTGCCAATGAATGCCGATGAAACAACTCTATGGAATGGTCGGGAATCCTACAAGCAGAATGTTCTATAAAAAAGAGCTACAGACTTTATTTCTTTAAATGTTGATGTCAGAACATGTACTTCCTTTTATAATGTTTCTCAAAATAAGACAGAGCATTTTGTGAAAACTATTTAGCTAAAATGTTAAAACAAAGTTTTGCTTTTTATATGATAACTATGGAGCGAAAACCTCAATTAGTAAAATGTTCAATAGTCTTTATTAGGCTAAACGCAAAATATTTCGTAAATTTATCTATAAAACTCATTGGCATGTTAGAGAATGAATTTTCTGATTTAGATATTACTTTTCAGTAACTATCATTGAAATTGTAGCTTGCCCCACAAAATGATTAATGTCTAATATCTTCGGGAATATTTCTCGTAAAGGCAGACCATTTTGTATTTAACTAAATAAAGCATAATGAACGTTTTACTGACCAGACTTACACAAAGATCTTATAAAATGTTAAATTTTGCAGTTGCAAAATTCTTCAGTTTCCTAAGGTAAAAAGCCATTTTTTTTTTTTTTTTTTTTTTTTTAAACTTTTCTGCTAATTTGGTTTTAACTTATGGTTGGTTGTCGTGGTTTTCCCCATGCATAACGTGACTACTGAGCTGTTTTCCCATAGACTAGTCCGAAGCCATCTCTTTCCTCAAGTAATTGTGTGCTTCAAATATATATTCAAATAACCTAACCTAACGTTACTTAAAAATAAATAAATAAATAAGTAAAAATAAATAAAAAAATACACTTAGTTTTATTGACTCATACATGGAAGTACGACACAGAGAAAAGGCCCCGAACTGTTTTTTCCTCTACACTGCCTTGAAGCGGCAACGCACCGCTCCTGGTGACTAAAGCATTCAGTGAGTTGCTACTTGTATTAAGATCAATAGGTTTTGACATGATCGGAGGTTAACACTTTGTAATTACGTTGTAAATATAAGTATAAACGTATATATTTCCTTTTTCTACAATATTTCAGAGTTCTAAGTATGTGAAAGAATTAAACAAAATTTCGTTCTGAACGGAACTAAAGGCTATACTTTTCCCAGAACAGTTTTAATCTGAATGAAATGCCTTCACAAGTTTTCGCTAATTACATTAGAAAGAAATTTTAATGCAATTCGATTTTATTAGGTTAAAGGTTATAAAAATTAAAATCAAATTTTATTCTATTATTAATATTAAAATCACGCATTATTTATTTTCTATTTACAGAAATTCTTTCCGAAACACTTCTTCAAATATGAGATGATTTTCAGCTTCTGAGGCATCTTTTAACCCTTTTGCGACGGGAAGTGCAAACGCGCGCTTATCGCTGACCGCTGAGGCCGGCAGTCTGTTTCGCAAGTCTGTCCAGGGCCGGAGGTTTTTTTTTATGCTAGTAAGCCTAAATCCATGAAGAAGCAAGAAACGCACTCATAGAGTGTTTTCCTGCGATATAAATATTCGCGTTTCTATATTCCTGCGAATCCTTTTTGTATTCATTTTTTGCTACCATGTAGAGCCTTTTAGGGTTATTATGTGATGTTCTATTACGTTTGGCAATGTTTTTATTTCGGAAAGCCTTCAGTTTACTTATATACATTATACGACTTCAGTTTATGATGCCGATCAAGCGTTTTTTATCGGACGATTGATAAATGAGCCACTTAGTGATATGAATGAGAGTGATGATTCATTTCCTAAAGAGTTAGAAAGCGGTATTTCTAGTGATTTTCATATGGACATTTTGTCAGAGATTGAGCTCACTGAGTGTCTAACTTCCAGTTATCGTTTGTAAACAGACTTTCTTGTACTTTTTTTTATTAATTTAAAAGTTTATTAATGTATTTTATCAATTAAAACTTTTAACTTATTTGAATAGCGCTTCCGAAAATTATTTCTTAAAGTGAGCATTTTTCATATATTTTCATGTAAAGTAAGGGAAAATATATTTAAACACTAAATTTAACATGTATGATAGCTTAAAGAGATGTCATAAAGCATGCCATTAAGAAACATTCCTTTCCCCTTATGTTTATGGAATCAAAAACCACGTGTATGTGAGCAATGCTACTCTCATTTCGAGTAGAAGGTCAAATGTACATGTATCTGAAACCATATGGACATACAATGCTATCTTGTGCCAAAAGTTATAGTTTTTAAAACGTTCCAGGACACTGGCACAAATGTGTGACGGTCGGGGTGAACGAGAAAACGCTCTGGCACGCCAGCGTGTCGGCCGGGAAATGAGCGCATTTCTTGCTGGCAGGTATACCTGACAGCAGGAGAAAGGGTTAAATCAAAAATCATCGTTATTGTATAATCAATGGTCTGTTCGGTTCATTTCAAATTACAGCACCTTTTATTTTTAATAGTCAGGTGTTGCTGCTGTTTTCTGATTTCCATGTACTTAACGTCTGAAAGCGATAAAAAAATAAGATAAAATCTAAGGAAATAATTCCTTTAATAATTATAAATTTTTTTATCCTTCATTTCAGCAATACAAATTCTAAAAATTCTAATTCCCTTCTTCCTTAAGTACGCATCTCACAGACTGTTTTTTTTACATCTCCTTTTAATAGACTGTTTTCCAGTATGAATAGTTTTTACTTAACTAGTTTTATAAACATATTTTTCAACAGAGTTTCAATTTATATTTACAATTAAATATTAAGGCCATCATATATTTAGATAATATTTATAACCATTAAAAATGTATATATATATAGCAACTAGATTTCTACGCAGTAACATTCCCAAGAGTTTATGAATAAATAAATCCTTCATTTCCGAATACATTTACATGTAATTTAACAAATATTTGCGTATTTTGTTAATGCATCTTTTTATAAGGATATGCATAAATGTTCAGATACATTCAACGTTTTCCATTTTGGGGATATGCAAATCTTTAATATCAGTTTAATCCCTATATTTTTTGAGTAAAGTAGCAGAACATATAGTCTAGCATATATCAGAATTTTTTGAATAAGAAATATATATAAATATAAATGGTATGAAAATTACATGCACTATTTTTAATACTTGCTCAGTTTTTCGTCGAAATTTCTCGGCGAAGGCATCTCTTTCCTTAGGCAGATAGCTCCTGCATGCTTTATCCTATTAGCCTGACCTATGGCGTAACGACAAATATTTGAACGTGCATAATTTTATATTTACATTTAGCCATCGGGTTTCAAAATTTTGATTTAAAACGTATTTTTAGCAAATTTAACCCAATTTAATCATTCTGTGACAGTATAATAGATAACAACTATCCATTTCGTAGTTAAACAATAATCCATTATCATCAGATTGCAATCTCGATTGCCTTACTCTGTACACCAACATTTCTTCATTTTTTGAAACAGTTTAAACAACTAATTGATCTAAATTTACATATTTCAAGATAATCCAAAAGGCAACAATATTTAATATGAATTATTGTAATATACCGATTAATAACATCGATGATGATTTTTTCATGTCTTGAAAATGTTTTAAAATTAGCAGATAACTACTCTTCTTCATTTATTAGGGATTAGATTAAGAAATAAAAATTGATTACGTTTCATTCAACAATATATGTATTGAAGAACAAAGGTTTTTTCATTCATAGTTTTGTGCTACATTTAGTCATCAGCTGAACATGCTGCTAAATATAATTTTAAAAAGGAGAGAGAGAACTTTATTTTGATATTTTTCCTTACAACTCTGTTAATCACTGAACATGAAATAAAGGTAAGTTTTGCATACAGTTGACGCAACTGAACTATTTACAGTATTTTTGCAAATATATTAGAGAATTTTTTTAAACAAATACATAATAAAAATCGCTCTTGCAAGTTATCGAAAAATAACCAAAATGTGATTTTTGCGTAAATGCTTCTTGTACAATTGCTATTACACATACTGAACGTTTCTTTTATGCCGAAGTGTCCCAGCTTTTCGATTTCCATGGAACTGTCGTGTGTGGAAGTACTACCAAGCTGCTGGTCAAGGTAACATGCTATGGATGTAAACAAAACACCTTCTTTGGCTACCAAAGCTCGGCAGCACTGCATCAGGCGTAGTGCGGGAATGGCGTCTCCTTTTTATTCTTACCTCCATGTTATAATATCAGATCCTTAAATTATGTTTCTTGTAAAAAAAATGGCCTAAACATATCTGGCTGTTATAATAAATTAGTGTTACTTCTGCATAATGAAACTTGGCAACATCAAAAACAAACCAGCGTCAAACCATATAGTGGCGAGAGAGAATTCTATGTTTTTTAGATGCAGAAGTCTTGAAAAGATTTTGTACTTGTATTGTATTTGTGCGGCATTCCTTTCAGCATGTTACCTGCTTTTATGGGATATACTCCTGATAATATTGTCTAACAGGTAAGCCTGAAGCTATTTAAAACTGATAAATGAGTATCTTGTAAATTCTATATTTCAGAACTTAGATTTAAATGTTTGGAAAAACTGTTAATTTTTATTTGTATTCTATTTGTGTTCTATCTGAGTTAAGCAAACTCTCTAACTTCTTAAATAAAGATTTCATAGTTATTCTAACTTATGACTTGGCTCATCTATATGAAGCCAACTTATGGACAAGCCTCCTTTCTCTGTTCTTAAAATTAGTGTGACTTCTTGTACAAAATGTACTAAATTTTATTTAATTTTTTATAAGAACTGATGCTAATTTTCTCGAAAACATTTTGCGTGTTTATCTTAGAGTATTTTGGTCTGTACGATACTTACAGCTGGCTATTAAAGTTCTACCCAAATAATTACTGAATGCAGTTCTACCCAAATAATTACTTTATAAATAATTATCCCAATACTTACCCAAATGATTACTGAATGCAGAAAAGCTAAAACGCTGCGAAAATTATGCCTACCTACAGCAATCTGACTTCGCTTTACCATATCAGACCAAACGCAGCGCCCCAAAACACAAATTTTGGGATGTCAGAAGTTTGTATTTTTGCGCTGTAATATACACACATACATAATACAGGAGTGTACGAAAGGCTCCATATATAATGTAACACTGTTTTTTTTTTTTTTTTTTTTTTTTTTTTTTTTTTTTATTGTAGGTAGGTTAAACTTTACTGCACATAAACCTCAATATATCCACCTATATATGAAGGCTTTCGTGCCACCGTAATACATGTAATTAATGTACAAGTCAAGTATAGCTGACAATTAAATTAGATGGTTTAGTACGGTAGACATACGATTTGTAGAGAGAGGGAGCGAATATCCAGATATCTAAAGATTCAGAATCCCCTCTAAGCCCTTAGGCAACTTAGCCCAGGAGCTCTCGAGAATGGACGGGGTGTTGTTAAAAACAGGATGCTCCCCATTTTTAAATGACAGCAGGCGATTAATAGCTTTCTGAATAAGAGGCGCTTTTCCTTGAAAAACAGAAAAGTGCCACATAATGTTGATCAAATCCTGAGGCGAAGATAGGTTCACTTCTTTGAGAAGCTTCGCCTCATAACAAGGCTAGGAGGAAGTGGAAAATGAAAAGAATAGGCAAAGTAGCAGTGGACTTTCAACGATATCCTACCGTTAAGCATCATTAAAGGAGGTGCTAAACTAATTGGAGGTATCAGCCTTTTACTGGGTTTCAGGAAACTTTTAAAATTATCTAAAATATTGCTAAAAATGTGTAGTTTGCCTGATTGTTAAAAGAGACTTTAAAGTAAGAAATGCGCTTCAGAAAAGCCATCTGAGGTACATCTCAATCAAATTCACCCAAGCAAAATATTTTCATAAGCTATGGTATATTTTTATTCATGGAGAAGAGTTTAAATTAGAGAAATTTAGCTTGCTTTTTTATCATCAACACGTTTTAATTTTTAATACGCATCATTTTTCGCTCTTCAAGAACTTGCTTATTACATTACGTGAGGCTTATGCATATTTTTTGCAAAATGTAATATTGTATTAGGGTGATATTTGCAATAAAATGAAAGCGTCGGTCAAGTGTAGACGTTTTGCCGCCCGGTGGCTTGTACATTACAACACAATACTATGAATAAAATTATAAATCATTTTTGTTACAACAGCATTGTAACCTTAATATATCTACTAAAGTAATATTTGAGACTGGCAGGAAAATTCCAGTGTTTAAGTGTATTAAGCGCATGATCTGACATTTTGCGATATCCAGCTGAAGTCTGCATACTGGGATTATATTTTTCGGTATTTTGTACTTAAGTGTCAATTTTTTTTCATTAACTTAATTTCAGTTGTTTCTGTCAGAGTTTATGAATGTCCCTGTCGCTAGTTTAAAGAGTCAGAAAGAAATGTGTACATCCATACACACACACACACACACACACAAAAAAAAAAAAAAGTCTAGTGTGCATTTCGATGGAAAAGGGGCTGTTCTTTTTTGTAGTATGAGGGAAAATGTTTTACCTTTGAGATAGATCTCTAAGTTCTGGATAAGTTCTAACGTAAGGGAGGTAAAACACAGATTTAAACTTTCAATAAGGACTTCATTGACTCGAATATTTTGGAAAGAATTTCGTTGATACGAATTCAAGGCCAATATTAGTTCTGAAAATAATCCCACCAGTGGCCGAGTGAATTAGGCGACAGAGCCGGCGCTTGGCATTTTGCCGCCCGGTGCAATCTCTGCGAGTTCTAAATTCTACTACCCGTTGTCTCCCTAACTTACAAGAATTTCAACGCCCTTAAATTTTGCTCTCAAGTACCTGCCTTAAATTCCGAAAATTTTGGCGTTCCTAAATTTTCTTCAATAAATCTTCAAGTGCTTCAATAAACTCTAAACATATTATCACCGCCCTGTGCAGCTTTGACGCCGGCCGTATGCACAATTCAAACACTATTTCAAATATTACGCTTCT